TTTGATCTCCAACACAACAAACAAAAAAAAAGAAAAAAAAATTTAAAATAGGATTGAATTTTATAAGATAAAAGAATATGTGAATGGATACTGTATTAGTCCATTTGTCATTACTATAACAAAATATCTGATACTGGATGGTTGGTAAAGAAAAAGAGTCTGAAGGATCAAAAGCATGAAACTGATATCTGCCCATCTGTGGCAATGGCCTCATAGAAGATGGCATCACAATGGCAAAAGCACATGCAAGAGAGATGAGGAGCACATCCAGGAGAGGGATCCAGCAAAGGTGCCAGGCTCCCTTTCAACAACCCATTCTCAAAGGAACCAACCAGATTCCCTCAAACACTGCATCAATTCTTTCCGAGGGTGAAACCCCAACTGACCTTAAAAGTCCCAACATTGTCCTTCACACTAAGGACCAAATTTCTGTCACATGAATCTTTCAGGAACAAACCTTATCCAAACCATAGAAAATATAAATAATTTCTTCTTCTTCTAGCAAATCAACTATATCTAAACTTCATTTATCAAAATTCAGCCACAAAACCAACCAGTTTGGAGTTTGAATCATTGATTCGCTGCACTAGCTAATAATCCCTCTCTGTGGTTCCTTCAGGAGTCTGAGACTTCAGAGGAAAGCACCCCCATACAGATCACTGCCTCAAATGGTGGCAAAGAGCATTCCATTTGATATCTGACAGCCGGGCGATGCATTTTTACACTTTTGAATTATTACACACAGCTAAGTAACTGCAACTACAACTTCCAAATAAATGTCCAACCTCATTTCCTATAAGACCTCTTGAGCTAAAAGGTCATGCAGCCTTCATGGCTTATGATGGCTCATCAGTATGATTTGACTATTTCCTTTGGGCTGGTCTAAAGGCAATCTTGGGGTGAAGAACAGGCAAGTCACCCAAAGCTTAGTGTCCACCCATGAACATATATGAGCACATAAGAAAATGCTAAATGGGTTAAAAAGATGTTAAAAGCACATTTCTGCAGGGCATGGTGGCATACCTCTGTAATCCCAGTGGCTCAGGAGGCTGAGGCAGGAGGAAAGCAAAGTGCTAAACAACTCAGTGAGACCCTGTCTCTAAATAAAATACAAACTAGGGCTGGGGATGTGGCTCAGTGGTTGAGTGCCCCTGAATTCAGTCCCCAGTAACCTCCTTCAAAAAAAGCACATTACTTAGAAAAATGTAACAAATGTTTCTGTATTTTCTGTGTTCATTACAATGCCTCCTATAGACTTCTCTGAAGCAGAAATAATCTTTTATGACCTTGAGTACACAAACAGATAAGCATTCCAACAGAGATACATTTGTTACAGTACATTCCAAACTTTATTTTCTTGGTTTACTGTTCTTTCTGATGAGGTTATTATTTATTATTAAAGTAGCATACAATTAGAGGTCTATTTGGCCTGCTTTGGATAAGCACTTCAAATGCTCTTCAGCCCTTCTCATACAAGGCTGCTCTCAGGCAGGTCAGAGTCACCACATGTAAATAATCAGGACCCTCAGAACTATAGTAGTTGGTATGTATGTAACATTATGTAACTCATCACTGAGGTACCCATTAAATTATAGGGAATAAGTGTTTAATCAAATTTATAAAACTAATGAAGACAATGGACATATCAGTTTAAAATTGAGGATCTGGTACTTCTATTTCCATATTATTCTTTCATTTCAATTAATAGAAAACATAATCGTAGAATAGAACTTCAAATTCATAAGTCAAAATTTTTACATAAATTTCATAAGGTAAGAAATTTATCTAGTTATCACCATTTTATACATAAAATTTAATGGGCACTCTAAATATCTGTTGAATAAATGGATGGATAGATAAATGGATAAATGAATGAATGAATAAAGACATTAACATAAATTTAATGGGCTCAATCTATTACGTGACTACAGAGGTTATGATTACTATGTTCTTCTTTTATGAAGTAAAGCAGGAGCTGGCAAAGTTTTTTGTAAAGGGCCAGATGGTAAATATTTTAGGCTTTGTGGGCCATATGGTCACTGTTCCAACAACTCAATCCTGGTCTCTTTCGCAACTATTCAACTCTACTGTTATAGCACAATACGTAAACAAATGAGCACAATTGTATTTGAATAAGACCTTATTTATAAAAACAGAATTTGACCATAGAAACATCCAAATCTCATGAGGAACACTTTCTATAATAACCCTTTATTTCCTAAAGATTACAAATTGTTAAACTCTCCTGAGAATATACTTTGTATACAACCAGAGATATGAAAAATTGTGCTCTATATTAGTGTAATATGAATTGTAATGCATTCTGCTGTCACATATAACAAATTAGAATAAAAAAATAAAAAGAGAAAGAAATTGGTAAACTCACTAAATTCTGCCCAACATGCTTTGTTGGGTCAAAATTTGGCCAGGGAATATATATCCAGATTCCACAGCTAACATCACTCCCTACTAATCTCAGTCCTGTTACCAGACAGGTCCAGTTAAGTCTGTGCATTTACATCCCTGAATTCTACGGCACAGCTGGTTTCCAGGAGTGTGGCCCACGTCCATAACTGTGAAGCCACAACCACAACGTGGGCTCCTCAAGTGCAAGCCCATAACCTTCTACTCTTTGCCCTCCTCTAACACGTAAAATTGAGCTTTAAATATTCCTTGATGGCACAGTCTCCCCAGAAGAGCTACAGAGAGTAAGAATGGCAGACGAGAATACAGAAGACTAGTGCCTGCAGGGAATAAAGTGAAAGGGACATGGTGAGTCATAGCAAGAGCAGCAGAAATCATGACAGGACTGAAGAAACCAGACACGTCTCTTGCACATGTGTCTTGCTCTCTTATCAGAAGTTAGAACCTCTCCTTCATATCCAGCAGAAGCTGGGCAGAGGTTGGAAACCTAAGATCACCTCCACTGTAACCACAATGAGGACAAAATCTTGTTTAATACCCATTTCTGGTAGACGGTGCTCCATATACTTACCTGATATCTAGCAGAATAAATAAACTATACTATTCTCTTACAATAGAACACTCTACAGCAATGAAAATCAACAATCCAAAACTATATGCAACAATAGGGAGTAACCTTTTTAATACATTATTGATTTAAAAAAAACAGATGCAAAAAAGTACAATTTGCATTATGTATTACTTACACACTTACACACACACACACACACACATACACACACACACACGTGGGCAAAAGAAACCCAAGTAAAACTAATGTATACTCTCAAAGTCAAAGCAGTGGTTTTCCTTGGAGGAAGCAGGGTAGTGTCTAGAAGGAGGAATGATGTTGTGTTGGTAATGTTCTTAACCTGGGTGCTGGTCTGGTCACACAGGTGTGTTCAATTTGTGCAATGAGATTGAGCTACATACTTGTGTGTATTTTCTGTAGGTATGTTATACTTCAAAAAAAAGGTTGTTGTTTTTTTTTAAATATCCCCTACCTAAATGGCCCAGGCAATACTGGACTCCATAAACCCTCCATTCATCCATCATTTTCCCTGCTCACTCATCTTTTCAAAGCATAACCATACAGAGGCCAAAGAATGAGAAAGCAACCTAGATCATTCAAAGCTCCTTCTGAATGTTTCCTTTGAATCACTAACCTTTTTTTTAAAGAGAGAGAAAGAGAATTTTTTTAATATTTATTTTTTAGTTTATCGGTGGACACAACATCTTTATTTTATTTTTATGTGGTGCTGAGGATCGAACCCAGCACCCCACGCATGCCAGGCGAGCGCACTACTGGTCTTGAGCCACATCCCCAGCCCCATCACTAACCTTTTAGTCAAATTGAAAAAGGACAGTAGAAGTAGCCACTGTTGCCCTAAATGGTTAGTTTAGACTTCTTTTAAAATATGCTAAAGATGGGCAACTTCAGTTCATAAATGTCTATAAAGAAATGCTTGAAAATATAGAAAGAAACAAAACAATATTTCAACACACAGGGAACACTTGAGAGAGGTATCATAAATAAATTATCACTGAGATTGGAATGTACAACCGTCAACAGCCACCCTGCAAGAATCGCAGCTAACAGGTCATGTAATCGGCTGTAATGTGTAATGATAGGGAACTGCAATCATTGCAGAACACATCTTTTAGATTCTATATAAAATTTCAATTCAGGTAGTCAAGTTGGGAATCATTTTTACTCTCTCTAATGTTTTAATTTTTATTCTCTCTAATTTTGCTCTAATTTTACTCTCTCTAATGTTGGTTTAAATATATAAATCTCAATTTCATATTACCACTCATAATTTTCCCACATTCTCCTACAAGTTTAGATTTTTTAAAAAAAAATCATTTAAGACCTTTGTTCACATTAGATCACGGGCACTGGTGTACTTAAGAATGCTGATCAGAATGGGGTAAAGGCAGTGATCGAATCCACTGACGCAACCATAAAACATCATCCATAGGGGATGGATAGGCAGATTTCAGGGAATGAAAAAAGTATGGAATCTTTCTCTCTCAGGAAAATTTCACACCTTCATGTTCATGTTTCTTATATCAAACAAATTCATACTGCTTCATCTGTCCATTAATTAAATCTGTTTAAATTTTTTAGTCTGACTTTATTTTTATCAACTATGAAGGGAACATAAAGTTAGACCCTTTACTAGAAGCTATTTAAATAATTCTGTACCACAGAGTTTATGAATATCCTAAAATATCTCTCAAGGGAGAACATTATTATTTTTAGGAATTATGGCCCCAAGCATTTAGGAGAAATTCATATGTCTGTAAGTTACTTTCACACATTTCAGCCAAAAAAAAAAAAAAGTATAAAACATACACACACACACACACACACACACACACAGAAAAGGTAGCAAAAATACTAATAGCTATTAAATCTAATGGTAGTAGGTACATAGGAGTTTGCTGTACATTTTTTTAACTCTTTAGTATGTTTGAAAATTCTAATAGTAAAAAGCTGCTACAATTTTTTTTTCTTTTTTTACCTTTCACAGGGATGGCCGTCTTCTTTCTCCTACTCAAAACCAAATGGTTAAATATGCCCAAATGCACATTCAGGGGTCGCTCATGCTGCCTTCTTCGCCCTGCAAGAAGAAGCAAAACAACATGCTATCACCAAGGATTTTTATTGTTAGTGCTATTTCAGTTGATAAAACGTACTTAATATATAGCAAGCATCTAGATTAAAATACTGCTGTAACGTTTCTTAAAATAGGGAGAGAAGTGAAAAGAAAAAGAAACTGACCATATATTGAATGTGATAAATCAGCCCCACCTAATCAGGAAATTCTAGAACAAAGGAATATCTCAGGAACCTCATTTTTAATATTTATTAAAATATGATTGATAAACAAAAGTTGCATGTATTTAGGGTACAGAATGTGATGTTTATATATATTTTTTTCACTGTGAAATGATTGCCATAATAAAGCTAATTAACACATCCATTTTTTTGTGGAAAGTACATTCCACAAATGTGTAATGAAATCTACTTTCAGCAAATTTCAAACATGTGATACATTGCTATTGACTTTAGTCATTATGCCACATTTCAGGTCTTCTATGCGTTAGAGCTGCAAGTTTGTTGCAGAGAATTGCTTTTAATTCACATAACTTCAGGGCAGTGACACAGCCCAAATATTCTCTCAAACAAAAACTGGCACAGTAAGAACCTGAGCTTCCCTCTGATTTTGGATTTGAGACCATACTTAGAAGGCATCCACCTGACCCTCTTAGAACCATATTGAAATGGCTAAACCACCCCAAATCCTTTCAGGCAAAAGTGTTTAGATCTAGCACAATGTACACTCAAGCACATGCTCTAGAGCAAGGAGGCATCATGGCCTGAAATTTGTAATCAGACTGCTACCACCATAGCTCCTGCTTTGGTACCACCTAGTACATTCGATCCTCCCCACAGCCCTAAGCAGAGTTTACTGATCCTATGACACAGAAAAGACAGCCCAGTGTCAAAGATAATGTATGAGCAGAAAGGAAACTCCTGCTTACCCAGGCTCAGGATCTGTCTCACTGTATGGAATGTCTTCACCCCACCCACGTGAAAACCAACCCCGGCACCAAATAGCCAAACAACACATTCACATAAGAGAAATGGGGGTATGGGCTACAGTTTATTTTCTGAGAGTATATATTCATAATCATCTTAATAGTACCACTAATTCTATCATTGCCAATTACAATACTTATTACCAGTGAGTATACTTCCTATGTAGACACAATAACCTTAAGGTAATTTTGGCATTGTATATATATATACATATGCACTTCATTTTTCTCCCTTCTTTCTCATAAAAGCACCATTGCCCAACTGAAGTGAAAAAGCAAGCATCACATCATACACCTATTGATTTTTATCTTTGCCATAACCACAGGCAGTTCTCTCTTGCTATTGAGGACTTTCATTTTTTATAATGCAAAATACAGTACAATTTAAAAAGCAAAGAAACATCACCACAAATAAAGACAAAAACAGCACCAGCACTGTAGGGGAGGAGGCAGTGTCACTACATGATGGCCTGAAGAGGCACTTTGCTAATCACCAAAATCCTGCACTCACAAGGTCTGGGAGATATCTCCATCTCTATGCTTAACATGTGCGAGGGAGGGGGGACAAAAGCCTGAGGAAAGCCAGTCAGGGAGCCCCTGCACCGGGTTTTTGGTCCTGTTATCTCAGCTTGTTAGTATGATTAAAAAGCCAGAGACCCTCATCAGGCTGCTCCCTCACCTGAAGGTTGGAACACCTGTTCCAAGGACATGGAGATCTACAAAGGAGAGACAATGTGACTCACCACCTCACAAACTGGGCACACTGGACCCCCCAGGAATACTTTACCATGCAGCTAATGCCTTCAGCTACACAAAATAAAGGGGAAATGCATGAAGTACTTTCCAGAAACATCACTCTTACTCAAGATTTTGGTGGGGGAAGTTTAAACAAATAAAGAATTTAAAGTTTGTTACTATTAAAACAAATTTATGTTGTGGAGTAAAATGCAATAGCTGCATGAATTAAGCTAAACACCTATCCTCAGGTGCCTAGATCATTTCCAGCTTGGCTGTAGAAGTGGGGAAAGAAGATGGATTCTCCATTCTTATGAAAGATGGTCTTGGGAGAAAGCAGGGATTTGAATATCACAATGGCCCTTGTTCTGGAGAATTCTCTTCAAAATTAGTTGTCCCAGACTCACCAGATGTAGGCACAGGCAAAATGAAGTCTAGGCACACATAATCCCATTTCTATATCACATTTCCTGGTACAAGTATACTGAGGTTTATTTCCTGATGTCCCGCAACAGGTATATTTCTGTCACAGACTCATGCCACTCTGGTTTTATATCACTGACATTTCTTCTACCCCATTCACTTCTGGCACATTCACTATTAGCAGTAACTCTCATCTAACTGAATGTCTATAACATTACTATCAAAAAAATGAACTTGGGCTGGGGATGTGGCTCAAGCAGCAGCACGCTCGCCTGGCATGCATGCGGCCCGGGTTCGATCCTCAGCACCACATACAAACAAAGATGTTGTTTCCGCCGAGAACTGAAAAATAAATATTGAAATTCTCTCTCTTTCTCTTTCTCTCTCTCTTAAAAAAAAAAAATGAACTTGGGGCTGCGGTTTTAGCTCAGCAGCAGAGCCTAGCAGGTACGAGGCACTGGATTTGATCCTCAGCACCACATAAAAATAAATAAATAAAGATATTATGTCCAACTACAACTAAAAAAATATTTTAATAAAGAAATAAACTTGGGGCTGGGGTGTGCTCAAGCGGTAGCGCACTCGTCTGGCATGCGTGCGGCCCAGGTTCGATCCTCAGCACCACATACAAATAAAGATGTTGTGTCCGCTGAAAACAAAAAAATAAACATTAAAAAAAAATTCCCTCCCTCTCTCTGTCTCTCTCTCTCTCTCTCCCTCTCTCCCTCTCCCCTCTCTATCTTTAAAAAAAAAAAAAAGAAAGAAACTTACCAATTTAGTTTATCTACAAGATGGCCCCCCAGTGATCCCCACCTCCAGTATTCCTGTATTCACCTAGCCAGTCCCCTTCCACACTGAATAGCTCTGGCATGTGTAAAAACCATCATATTTTGAAATGGTGCAGTGAGACTTCAAAGGCTAGGTTGAAAGACTTTGCAGTGTCTGTCTTATTCTGTCTTGTGAGGGAAGCTGACTGTGGTGACATGAGGACAGGTAAGGTGGTAAAGAACTGAGGTATCTTCCCAAGAACCAGCAAGAAATCCAGCCCTCTGAAGCAGCCTTATAAGTCATCTTAGAGGCAGAGCCCCACTCATTGCTGACCACAGCCTCATGAGAGACCCTAAATCAGACTACCTGACCAAACTGCTCCCGGACTCCTGACCTACACACAGACATGCATGAAGTGTGTACAAAGACTCCAGATAATCTGTTATGCAAGGATAACTAATATAATAACATGTTAGCTTAAAGAACAATAGAATAAATCCTCAATATCCAGTTGGCATTTGATTTTGGGTTGTTTTTGGAAGCCCTGTGTGTGTCCTACCTGACTGCATTTCCCCCACTCACTCTTCACCACCACCCCACCACTAAGATTCACCATTGGTCTGAATTTTGAGACAATTATTCTTTTGCTCCTCATTAGGGTTTTACCACATATGTGTTCTCAGTATGTTGTTATGTTTTGCCTAATTTAAATCTAATAAAAATAAGCCTATACTGGAAATAAGCTTAGAAGCCCATATTCTTATAAGACTTGCCTCTTCCCTTACGATTTTGATCTTGAGATTCACTCCTATTGACTCATGTGGCTGTAGTTCACTCATTTTTTTCACCACCACCTAGCTCTCCTTGTGTAAACATACCTGCAATCTCCAGCTCTTTTCTACCACTGAGGATCCTCTGGGGATTTTTCCATTTTTTTACTATTCTGAATAATACTGCTATTTATGTTCTAGTGCTTATTCCCTGGTGCACACAGGCAAGAGTTTCTGCAGGGTATATACCTAGGAGAGGAAAGCAGGGCTTGGGATTGTACATGTTCAACTCCACCAAGTATTGCCAAATTGTTTTTCAAAGTGGTTGTGTACAATTGACTCTTTAGCCGCCTTTCCAGTCTCTCTCCAAATAAGAGGCATGCTTGTTTTACTAATTACAAGGAAAGCTTTCAACCAACAAAAGGGAAAGCCTTTCCTCTCTGCAGCATCACTACTGCAAATAAACAGTACTCCAAAGCAGTGACCCAGACAACGGGAACATATTAGTCACAGAACATCAGTACAAACTTCAGAACAATGATACAGACCAGCCGACACCACACACTGCCCACGGGTGTAAGTCAAATTTGATTTCGAGACCTAGGGTAAATTCAGAGACTATTTTCTTCCTTTGGATTAACATATGATCATTCCACCTTATTGCTATCATATTGAAGGGAAAGAAAATAAACTCACATGCAGCCCAGCCAAATTCAAGACTCAAGCAGGAGAATAAATTATTTCTCCAGGAAATAATTGTTGCTTCTTTTTAACAGAGAGCTAGTTATGGTTTGGTGTTTTTTTTTTTTTAACTATAAGATGAAATTGTTATTTGCTATATTTATACATAGTAAGTTATACTATTTATATATAGTAAATTGTTATTTACTATAACTGGTTTTATTTGTAGTAATTCTATAAAAAATTCTTCTGTATTTTCTTTACAAAACGATGTCCTTTGTAGATTTAAAGTTAATCCAATTTCTTAGGTATCAATAGTAATTTTTATAATTTAATCAGGATTTCTAGTAAAAAGATGATAGCAAATGTCATTAAATACAAATAATGAGAAATTCTGTCATTTAGGGCAAAAAGGAAAGAGAACGTTATAAATTTCAAGGTAGCTCATGTATCAAAAAAAGAACAGTGGCACAAAAAGACACCTAATGAGGCCATTTCAACTCAACTGCTCAACAATTATTTGTCTCTTCAAAATCATTTAGCCTTTTGAGGTAGGAACTATTATTATGCCCATTTTGCAGACAGAGGCAGAGGAAGCAATGAAATTGTGCATAATCACATAGCTGATAGGC